TATCAGGTTTTAACTAATTAATGCATGCTAAAAGATATGTATGCTCACTGGAAAGAGAAAGAGAGAAAGCACTCCCCTTGGGGTATTCTCATGTCACAATCCCTTCTCTATTTCTCCTCTCTAGATTGTGGCATGCACATGTGTACACACACACACATACACATGCCCAGCAAGTTTTTCAAGCTGTCATTTCATTACTCAAATCACATAGTCAGCCAAGCACAATCCATTTGCCTTAACTACCACGCCAGCAGGTGGCCCTGGTTTTATTGTTTTATTGTAGGTGTTGGAATGTCCCTCACCTAAGGTGCCTTCTCACCTTAGCAGAAGCTAGAGGGTAAGGGGTGGCAGTGGTAGGTGGGATGAGACCCTTCAGAGATGACTCATTTCAGTGTACCAGTACATACAGAATCTTCAGAAATGCAAATGAAGCTAGAGGATCAAGAAGGCTGAACTTGTCATAAGAAATAGGAGAGGCTTTGGGGTTTTTTTGTTTGTTTGTCAGTTTATGTATTAGTATAATTAAAGAATAGAGAAAAGAGGAAGAAGCAAGTAAACAGTTGTGTGGCGAGGTTAAAGCCCTGCCTGGTGGATATATTTAACAGGCATTTTTAAAAACAGAAAGTTAGGTGTAAAAGTTAAGCATATGGGTCTATCATATTTATCTTCCAAGTTCCAGCACAATGAAAAAAATATATATATGCCCACATGTACATGATCGATATTATAATAATACTGAAAAACAGGAAAGACATCAAGCAGTGCTTGAGGATATTAAGGGAATCTTGAAAGACTGCAGGAGGGATAATGAAGAAAAGTGAGAAGAGTCATCCATTGGCTAAAACCAGCAGAATGAGATCAGTTTTACAAGGGACCTCAGAGACACTCCAAACATCAGTGAAAGAGCCAGAGTAGGCTGGAGGCAGGGACAGCCAGAGAGACTGGGCCAAATGGCATTATCATTTTGCTCTTCCCAGCATTCACAGACATGGAGGCTGACTTTTGTTTCTTTGTTAGTTTTTGTTTTTTGTTTTTCTTGTAGAAAGTGAAACCTAGATGGAATTCTGTGTAGGTGTAGAAAAGAAACAAGTCAGTTAATATTGAAATAACAATGCTATATCCTCATAGAGTGAAACTTGAAGGAAAGGTATTTTTCCCAGGAGAGAAATACAGTACAATCTTCCATATCCAGAGAATCCTTAGCCTTCCTCTCTGCATTGCACTCACACTCTTTGAGTCTACACAGAGTTTGCTATCTGCCTTTCCATTGAAGGCACAATCTTGTTCAGGGTAAGAAGACCAGAAACAACTGCAAAAGAAAACCGTATTAACAGGTAAACTTGTCAACCCATAGCCATATGTCAATAATGAAGCATTCCCAATGTGGGACAAGACTAGCAATAGGGGGGAACCAGCAGTTAGCATAATGGCTATGTCGCTGGATTCCCACGTAGTCAACTGTGGTTCGCATCCCGGACCCAGTGGCTTAGAACTCACGCCGGGCGCATGTGCCTGTGTGCCCGAGATCCTGAGAGGAGAACGGAGGAGAAGGGATTGCGGCGGCGTGACCATCCCACCCTGGGGGTTGATTTCTCGCTTTCTGTGTCTATGTCTCTCTCTGTCTGGCGAGCGCACGCACCCTATAGCGAAAACCTCTCAAAAAGAAAAAAAAAAAAACTAGCAATAGGAAGGAGAAGGCAAAGATAAAAACATGGGATGTCAGATAACAGAAGAAATGCAGATAATTGAAGATAACAGAAAACGATTTCAAAAAATTCTAATTAGGAGTAATAAGGAAAAGTGTGAGAATACATCAGTCATTAGACAAGAATGGATTTATTGGGGAAAAAGAGCACTCAATAAATTAATTTAACTTACTCAAAGTTATAATTATCAAATTAAAATTTTATAGATAATATAAAAGATAGTGTTAAAGCTAAAATGAGTTATTTGGAAATTAAGTCAAGGAACTCTCTTCTCAAAAATATTGAAAATAGGACTAGGCAGTGGTCATGCAACTGGACCCATATGAGAAAAGTCATATGTTTGCATCCTGGGGCATCTCTGAGTATACAGGGTGTGTACAGATGTCCATGAACCTGGCGGGCTAGACTGGGGGTGGTGGTTTACAAGATAATGACCCCATAGGGGGAGAGGGTCCTTGTCTTTCTCTTTCTCTCTGTCTCTCTCATGGAAAAAATAAGGGGAACCAGCAGTTAGCATAATGGCTATGTCGCTGGACTCCCACGTAGTCGACCGCGGTTCGTGTCCCGGACCCGGTGGCTTAAAACTCACGCCGGGCGCGTGTGCTTGCGTGGCCAAGATCCTGAGAGGAGAATGGAGGAGAAGGGTTTGCGGCGTGACCATCCCCCCAGGGGGGTGATTTCTCACTTTCTGTCTCTATGTCTCTCTCTGTCTGGAGAGCGCACACGCCCTATAGCAAAAACCTCTCAAAAAAAAAAAGTAAGTACGCTTTTTAAAAATGTTGAAGATGGGATCATCAGATGGCGTAATAGTTATGTTGCTGGACTCCCACATAGTTGACCATGGTTTGAGTCCTGGACCTGGTGGCTTGAAAATCACGCCAAGCATGTGTGCCTGTGTGTGCCCAAAATTCCAAGAAAAGAATGGAGGAGAATGGACTGTGGCGTGGCTATCTCACCTGGGGGTGATTTCTCACTTTCTGTCTCTCAGCTAGCACATGTGCCCTATTATAAAAAGCTCTCTCCAAAAAATAAATAAATAAATAAATAAGTTGAAAATATTTAAGATGGTAGAAGAAAGATTCAGCGTACTAAACATCTGTATACTATGGTCTTAAAATGACAGGAAAAGGGACGATGAAAATGAGAAAATGACCAAAGAAATAGTAGAAAAAAAATCTCTGTCCTGAAAAAAATAACACAATTTTGGTTAACTAAATGTTGAATATGGTGAAGTAAGTTAGAAATAAATACAGCACATACTGAAGGAATTTCATGGATAAATAACAGCTATGAAAATAATTTTTTTATAGAATAGTTAAAAACAAAAACAGATACATTCAAAATAACAGAAATTAGGCTTATTTATAACACTTTATATTAAGACAATGTAACAATGACTTCGAAGTTCTGAGGGGAAAAAAAAGATTTTGAAATAGGTCTATATTCAATAAAAAAAAAAAAAATTAGCAGTAAGCCCATGACATAATGTTAAGGTGGCTGAATCCCACAGAGCTGACTGAGTGGTTTGATTCCCAGTCCCAGCAGCTTAAAAAATATTGCAGACTGTGTGCATGCATATCCAATGGTCATTTAACGATTATTTTCTAGGAGCTGAGTATGTAAAACTTAGTCACTGGTATAATCAGGGTGCCATATTACAGATGCAAAGCTTAAATAATATAAAAACATCTACCAATAGTTCTAATAGAGTTGAATGGTTCATTCTTTCTTGACCCACCATGGGCTTGATCTAATGTAAAATGTCATTAAAATTTTAGATCGCTCAGAGGTAGCTTAACTTCCAGTGTCAAAACATTTCAACTCTCGGGGACCAGCAGTTAGCGTAATGGCTATGTCGCTGGACTCCCACGTAGTCAACCGCGGTTTGAGTCCTGAACCCAGTGGCTTAAAATTCATGCTGGGCGCCTCGCCTGTGCATGCCTGCCCAAGATCCCGAGAGGAGAATGGAGGAGAATCGATTGCAGTGTGGCCATCCCCAGAAGGGGGGTGATTTCTCGCTTTCTATCTCTCTGTCTCTCTCTGTCTGTCTGGCGAGTGCACAAAAAAAAAAGAAAATAAAAAAACATTTCAACTCTCTGAGCTCATAATGTACATTTTATAAAAAACTATAACCACTACACTACCTTTTTTCAAAAAATAACGACTGGTAGGAATGAAAAGGAATTTTTAAATTAGGCAAACATTTTTCTAAGGCGTAAACTACCCGCATGGTAAACAGATGGCTTAGAAATCACCTAATTGTTAGGCAGAAAATCTGATGTTTATCTTCTCACCGGGAGCAAGAGTCTACCTTAAATAGAAGAGTTTGGAGTTTAAACTATGACAAGGATAAGTTCTTTTCAGTCTCTTTAATACAAACATTTCAGCAAGTCCAAGGACTGGATCTAATTTCAGGTAGTCTTTATAGGATATATTTTTAAAATATCTAATGTTCTAAACAAGAACGAATAGGCATATCTTCAATTAGTTTCTTCAAGTTTCATCTTATTCATAAATTGGAATGATATTGTGTTATTGAGAATATCAACATAGGCAAAATAACTAAGTATACTGTGAAGTGCTACACAAACATCACTGTTATTTTTATACTCTAAGTAGATAGATGTTTTAAATTATCAAATCATCTGTATACGTGTTCCATTGCTGCCCTTGATTTACATGAATAGCAAAATGCTATGTGTTATATTGTTCATCATTTATCAAACACTTACCATAGGTTTTACATTGCATTATCTGTCATGGCTAATTGACAGAGGAACACCCAAATTCTGATGAATGTAGAACCTAATTCTGCCTGCTGACGACTATTACAGACATCTCACCTCAGCTACATTCTGAAAATACATGGACAAATCTGGAGACAAGAGCAAACCTCTGAGTCTGGGATTTAGAAACAGCTGCATGTTTTTGGAATGCAGAGTGCAGTGTAGCACTCAAGAGATTCACAGGACTCAGAGCCTAAGTGGTCCTCTCATTCAGGTTCAAGAGTTGAGGTATTTTTCTGAGCACAACAAAAATGAATCAAAAGAGTTTTTCATTAGTGTATGTGTGTAGAAGGCAGAGATGGTGGTGCTTTGATGGTTAGACCTGTAGTTGGGAAATTAAACTGGATGCTAAACAAGACCAGAAACAGGCACATAGTGAGCGAATCCTGACATTTTCTCACTTAATTAAGAACAAGGTAATGTAGTTATCACCATCTCTATTTTACAAGTAAGCAAATAGAAACTATGAGAAACTCAGTAACTTGTCTTGTGTTGACTTTCAGATCTTTGTCTGATGTGAGTGCCCGTGGTCTTGAACTACCAAAGAAAATTCACAAGAGATGGAGTAATCGAGCAAGGAAGGCATTCTTCGATACGATTATAATATGAGTCAAGACTATTGCTGTAGGAAATAGAGATTGCATCAACTCTACTGAAACAGAAGGTGGGGAAGAGTTTCTGTCTGTGTTAGGATTTTTTGCCACAGGGCACCTGTGCTCCAGAGAGAGAGAGAAAGAGTGAGAGGAAAATGAGAAATCACCACTCTACTGGAGGAGGAGTGGTTGCCATGCCTCAATCTCTTTTCCTCCATTTCAATCCCTTTTCCTCCATTCTCCTCCTGGGGCTTTGGGCAAGAGGAGTTTTAAGCACTGGGTGGAGCTGAAAAGTACTACTGGATGCAACGAGGGAGGGGGAGTTGATCAATCTGATGAAGGCAAATGTGTTTGCTAAGTGATGCTCATGGAGGTTAGGCTCCCATCCTCCCATAGAGACTTGGGAGATGGAGGTGCTATCTCCTTTGATGATTACATTTCAAAGTGATGTTTCCTAGACCTTGAGAAAGATATTGTTGGGTTGTAAAACTGGCAGGAAGCAAGAAGATTTACAACTCAAAAGGCAGAGAAAGAATTTATGATTCCTATTTCTCTAAGTAAATGACCTAAGAAAAAGAAGTCAGGGTTCTATGGTTAGAGAGAAACCTGCCAGAGTCCACTTAAGCTGAGGAGAATGTTGAGACCATCTTGGTCACTACGTGCACAGCAAGTGGGCGCCGTGTAGGTGTTTCTTGATGTAATACAACCTTCCTTTCTTTAAATGCTCATAACGCTTCTGTATTAACTTTCTATTGCAATTGTAAAAAGTTCCCATACACGTTCCTTAAATTCTACAGGTCAGATGTCTCACTGAAGAGGAAAACAAGGTGTTGACAGGCCTGATTCCTTCTGGAGATGCTAGAGAAGAATCAATTCTTTGCCTTTTCCAGATTCCAGATGCCACAGACATTCCTTGGCTTGTCACTCCTACTCCTCCTCCTTTTCAAAACTAATACTGTAGTGTCCTCTGCTTTCTGATTCCTTTGCCACATGTTCTTCTCTGACTCCTGCCTTACTTTTTAGAGACCTCTCAATTGGGCTGACCCAGATCATCTAAAACAACCCCTCCCCCTGCCCCCTCAAGATCCTTCATTATATCTGCACACTCCTTTTTACCATGTAAGGTAACATGGTGAAAAGGTTTCAGGGATTAGGATGTGGACATCTTTAGGAGGTCATTATTTCACTTTCATGACTTTGTGTGTGCTACTTGTTCACTGTTGATTTCACTCCTTGTATCTATTCCCACCCTAACCACAGGCCTAGGAAAGAGAACTGGGGAATAGGATTTTTTACACACATGTATGTGAGCACTCACTACAGAGTTACTAACACAGTTTTACTAGAAATGACAGGTCTCTTACACTGTCTAACAAAGTCCAAAATGCAGAATATCAGGCTGGGGAAGGCCTGGCTTGATCTCCTCCTCCTTGAATGGCTCAATATAATGGCTAATATTGGGTTGTTAAAAAAGTCATGACATTTTTTTTTCTATATTTTCTGTGCAAAAATGCATCGTAGCTTTTCTGACAACCCAGTAGTTTTACCTTGTCAGATGTTTCCTGATGGTGCTGGTTTCACTTGCAAATTTCCATGTAATGCTTAGCCCTCTAGTTTGGGGATTTTAATTTTACTGGATAATGATCTTGGTGATTTTCAACATTTCCTGTTGCTTGTTAAACGGTCTGCCCGATTCGGCTCCAAATAACAGCTTTAAGCATACAAGTGAAAATTTAGCTCCTAGTATTTAACAACTACTGTAATTTTAAAATCTACTTTCAATTAAGAAAACCTTGTAATTCTAAAATGCGGTTGTGTTCCAAAGAAGTGCTGAAATGTCGACTGAATGCAAGTCCACTTTGCGTCTGGCAGAAACTGTGCAGTTGTCGTGGGGTTTGGCTGAAAAGCTCCCTCACTGGAGCCACTGACATCCTGATCTCGTGCAGCCCTGAGTGTCTTTATACCTCTCACCATGTTGTCAGAACAAGCTCCAGTAGTCAAAGGACACAGAAAGAGCTCGAATAAGTATTTGTCAAATCTAAATATATACAACTGACACTTTCAAGAAAATGTGCATAAGGGATGTATTGATTTAGGAAATGAAGATTATTTATGGTTCTGGACACAAGGTAGCTTTTGAAATTATGACAGTGATCTCTTTTATGGTACCAAAACACTATGTAGAGGGAACCAGTCTAACAAAGAGAAGAAGAATATTTAAAGTGGTACCCCTTTTAGAAACTTAGTCTTATAGGACACTGGCATTTATAAAACCAAGTTCAGATTTCACAGGAGACTTTGCTTGTATTTTCAGATTAAATTTAAGTTCCAATGAGTGTAGGTACTTAACCTTAAAAGTGTGTTAAAAAGATCATAGGCTTAAAATCCAACCAATGATCACTTATTGGACACTGGCTTGTTCCAGATGTTTGCAGGCATAAGAAAAGACAGAATTGCTTTTAAAAAATAGACGCTGTCATAGGTTAATATATGAATGGTAAAGCCATATGCATGTGCTAAAATGAAGAAAGGAACATATTTCTGGAATGGCATAGTTTTTGTTCCCTTGGCAATATTTATCCTATAATTGGGCCTTTCTTTTTTTTTTTTTTTAAATAAATGTCATTGAAAACATTTTATTAAAACTTGATGGTTTTGTTTGTTTATTTTTAAGAGATTATATTTCAACAGATGTATATCAAAAATGAGCTAGTTTGTTTTTTGTATTTCTGTTATTTATGGTCTTTTTTTCTATCCTCACTCAGCCTTGGAGAATTGTTTTGATTAGAGAGAGGCCTTTGAGTTGGTTCGTAGTGCGTGCTTCATGGCTTGTGCAGGCAGGTAGGCAGTTTTCTTCTTGTCTTTTTGTCTGGCCAAGGACATCTACATTTCATGTCAATAGGTATGCAGAAATTTATAGGCGGGGGATGAGCACACGTTTCTGTTCTCCATAGACACAGGACTAAAAATAATCAAATTGAACACACTTATATTTGAGAGGGCTCAGAATTTATCCTTCGTCTTGGTTATACACGTTCTTCCTTTTAATATGTAGCTTTTTAAAAATGCCAGAAGACATTTAAACAGTTTTTATTAAAGCAGGAACACCTTGGTGACACGTTTTGAAGGTTTTCTTTCAATCTCCCGAATTCTGGACTGGGTGGATCTGGGGTTTACGCCTACGTCAGGCAGCCTGATGTATCCATTGGCTCTTCTGTTGGATATTGTGATTTCGTTTTTCCTACCTGATGATTTCAGTGATATGGTTCTGCTGCCCCTATTAAGAGAGGCATTAATTCAAACTTTTAAAGAAATTATGAGAATACATTATTTAGAGGAGTTTATTATACATCACAAAGAACTTTTTGAGAGCCAAAAAAGATTCTAAGAGAAAGAAAGGCCTGGTGTGTTGAACTACACTGATACTCATCATTACTGCATTGATACAGACCAGTTTGATCAAACCTGTTAGCTGACTTTCTGGGATCTATCAGTTTGAATTTATTTGTCAGATAATTAACTCAATACTAAGTAAAAGCAATCCTCCAAATTCCACCATAAAGTTGTAATACCGAGCCTGGTATGGGGCATTAAAACTCATCTCAGCAAACAGGTTTCTGAAGTGTAGCGTTTTATTTCATGCAGAGAACGGACTGATTAGTTTCCCAAACGATAAACATTTTTTTTTGGCTTCTGAAACCGATTACTCCGTTGTCTTCATTACTCACAGATCAGCTTGCCATATTCTGTAACAAAGGCTGGGGCTAAACCCATCTTAGCTGTTGCCCACAACTTATGAAGAGATAATCCAGTTCATAGGAAATGAGGTACTTCAAGTATTCGATGAATGGAAAGTATTTCTCTGTCAGCATGGATTCAGCTACAAATATGTCTCATACTGATCTCTGGACTACTGCTGTATGCCACATTGATCCTTGCAGGAATAATTGTAAAGAGTTTCCAGGATTTCTTTTACTATCAGAAAAAACACCCTGGAATCACTTTGCCCATGGTTTATAGTGAGAAACACCAGTCTGAGCATTTTGAGCTTATAACCGTGGATAAGGTGTGTAATTTGTTTGGTGCGGAGTTCTGTGACATGAAAAGTAAATTACTATTAGGAGGGGTAGTGGGTAGAGAGATCTTCTCATAAAGAAAGAAAAAAAAGAAAAAGAAAATTATTTTTCAGCAAGAATTTTTAAGGTCTTATTTTTTTTTCCCCAAACTTGCTGGCTTGATCCTACTCATCAGCCCTCCATTGCCACCCCATGAAAGCACATGGTTTTTAAACTGATAAAGCAGGTAAACATGGGTTATGCCTTTTCCTCTGCCAATGTTGTGAAAATATCCTGGTTCATCGGAAGAATTGCTGACAGATTAAAATGAATAAAATGCCATCATTTTTGCTCAAATTGGATAGCAACGCATGTAAAACATCCCTAAAATTGTGCGTGCCCTTTGACCCAGAGAAATCACTTTTCAGAATATGGAAATAATCATTTGTCTGAGCCAAGATTTTGCTGCATAACCATGGCAGATTAAAATAGGTAAAAGTGGGAACAGCTTGAATGTCCAACTGTGGTCTGAATAAAGATTCTGAGGTAAAATCTAGCACAAATGTAGACTCATACCATTACTTCACAGCAATGTTATACTCTTACATTCATTAAAAATGTATCAAGACGCTACTCTAAGAATGACTGTAAAGTGATAAGGAAGAAACACATGGTCTATGATCCTATTAAATTTACATTATGCATGAAGAATTGACAGTGATAGAAAAAGAAGTTTAATACACGTTTTAAAGAAAAAATGAGGTGCCTTAACCTGGATTTCTCTGGATGAAAATCCGACAACAGATGGCTTATTGTGTTATTGTTTTATTGGGGTATGTAATCTCAGGACCTACCAGTGGGAGACAGGGGAGTGAAACAATGAAGAAAGGAGAGCTAAAAGAAGGTGTTATTGACCTGATCACTGATAAGAGAAACTGATTGCTGACTTGGTGAGACTGAACCCTCCTTAAGAACCCATGTGCACTTTATATTTAGACTCTGTAGGGTGTGCATGGGGAATAGAAATGGATAAGGCTGTGTCAAATGGCTCTGTCTTTCATTAGGTAGTTTTTCACTAAGGAGTGTTAATTCCTTGTAATTAATGCAGGCTTCTCATTAGTAGGTGGGCACTGAGGGGGTTCATTTGTAGGCATCCTTCAAGGCATGTCAAATATACCTTTGTGAATGTCAGAGGCCACCTAGAAGTCTGGGCATATAATGCATGCAAGAAATTGAGCAGATTACAGAGTAACACAAATACCATGATCTTATTTTTGGCATGAAAATTATTAAAATAATCATAATGCTAGGCCCAGCCATGGGAGTGTGCATTGCCGACACTGTGCTCCACAGGCTGAATGATAGTTCATTTCCTGGTCTAACCTCAAGGTGAGGTGCAATGACTTGTGCCTGTAATCACAGAGGCACAGGATGCTGAAGAAGAATGATCTCAAGTTTGAGACTGGCCGGGCACCCAAGCAAGAGCCACAGAGCAAGAAATGGGCATGATGGTACATGCCAGTAATCCCAGCTAACTGGGAGACTGAGGCAGGAGGATTGTAGTATAGCAAGACCTTTCTTAAAAACAAGAAAACCCCCAAAACACACACACACACACACACATACACACACACACACACACACACACACACACACTGCTTATAGATGACTTTTGGGAATATGATTTGTATTTTTTTCTTATTTTTCTTTGTTTTTCTGTTTTGTGTATATGATGAACATGGATTGCTTTCGTAAAATGAAAGAAATTAAAAAGTATTTGTAAAAGGAAAATGTATTATTCTCCATATTTAACACATTTTGATTTTCTCCAATGGTTGGTTAGATTTAGCCTAATTTCTCTAAATTGATCTTGGTTAATAATGTAGAAAAGGATTATCAACTCTAGCAAGTGATTGAGCTGCCAAGTTAATTACTAGTTCCCTATAATCTGCGTATATAAAAATAATGCTAATGACCTCATCATCACAGGGTATATCCCTGAACTCTTAAGAGTTTACAAATGATAAGAAAGATGAGAAATAAATGTAAGTCAATATGTCAAACACACAGTGTATTAGATGGTAAAGAAACCTATCCTATGTAGAAAACTGAAATCTGGAGGCGGGGTAAGAATATAGGGTTTTGGGAACCAGCAGTTAGCGTAATGGCTATGTGGCTGGACTCCCCCGTGGTCGACCACGGTTCGCGTCCCAGACCCGGTGGCTTAGAACTCACGCCGGGCGCGTGTGCGTGCGTGCCCAAGATCCCAAGAGGAGAATGGAGGAGAAGGGATTGCGGCGTGGCCATCCCCCCTGGGGGGTGATTTCTCGCTTTCTGTCTCTATGTCTCTGTCTGGTGAGTGCACGCGCCCTATAGCGATAATCTCTCCCCCCACCAAAAAAAAAAAAAGAATATAGGGTTTAATATGCAATTTTACTTTTTATTCCTTATTGTGTTTTAAAGTTTTTATTTATTTCAAGGGAATGAAAGACAGAAAGACAGGCACCCCCAGTAGGATCTTCATACCCTGATCCAACACAATCTCAGCTAGCCCCCTCAGAGAGATCTTGGGCTGCAAGCACAGACCCTCTGCCACCTGAGTCCTGTTGCATTACCACTGTGCCGCCATGTGGTCCTGAATAGGGTGTAATTTTAGATCAGATGATCAAAGAATAGCTCACTAATGGGTTGACATGGACGAAAGAAATGAGGGAAGCGAGGGAGTGATTTTAGAAATGATTTGGAAGGACATTTGCAGAGGAAATGACAAGTGCAAATCCCTGAAATGGGAATGGACCTAGCATGTCCAAGGAGGAGCAGAGATGCTGCAGTGGTGAAGCCAAGTGAGGGGAAGAGTGGTAGAACCACACCTTCACACAGTACGTACGCAGTAAGCATCAGGTGAACTGCAGTAATTGTAGTTTTGAAATCAGAAGCCCATAGATTCTGTTTCTTCATATACCTCAGTCTTAGTGCAATGTCTGCACACGGTAGATTCATAATTATTTTATTCTGTCATCTTTGGTTTATCTAAGATGTTAGTTTATATTTTAGAATATATAAATTTGAGGAGATTTTTGCTATAGGGCATGTACACTCACCAGAGAGAGGCAGAGAGACAGAAAGTGATAAGTCAGATGGCCGCGCCACAATTCCTTCTCCTCAGTTCTCCTCTTGGGATTTTGGGCATACACGTACTCTTGCCCAACATGTTTTACGCCGTCAGGTCTGAAACTCACACCGTGGTCAACTATGTGGGAGTCCAGCAATATAACCATTACACCATCTGCTGGTCCTATATTTTAGAAATACCTTACAATATCTGTTTGTCAGAGTACCTCATTGATGATGAGCTTTGTGAGGGCAGGGCTGTGCGCGTCTTGTTCATTGGTGTAATTCCCACCTGGCACATTCATCTTTTGAAAGAATAACTTACCACCTTTCTCATGGAAAGTTCCAGAACTGAGATCAATCAGGAGGAGAGAGAGAAAACTGTCAAAACTGGCTGGATGACAGCATGACGGAGGCTTCCTAAGCAAGTTGGACAGATACACCAAGCTGGCGACAGTGGCTGTTTGTCAGGTGAATGGATGATAGTCTTTCTTTCTAGATTTCTTCACTTGTGTGTATTTCACTCAAATATGCAAAATTAAAACAAATGCATTTTTAAAGGAACACAGTGTGCCAGCCTGATCTTCCATATTCATACTTTGTGCCTCAAGTCTTTCAAATGAATTGTCCCTTTTACTCTGAATACTTCCTTCCTCTCCTCTTTGTGCCAGCAAACCTACTCAGTTTTAGCTTTCAGGACAAATGCCATTTTCTCTGAGAAGCCTTACCTGTCTCCAGCACTCGTTCATATTTGCCTTTCTATAGGATCTGTCGGCCTCCTGATTTCTCCAAGAGCTCAGCCAACTATCCTGTAATTAAATAACAATTAGTATATTACCTGTTCAGCCGCTTACTTCCTCTGAGAAATGTGATGTCACAGGACAGAGGCTATGTCTCTCTTGGTCATTCCTGTCTCTGATGCTTGAAAAGTACTTAACAACAGAGTACTCTAATATTTACAGAGATTAAAAATGATTCTTTAGATAAGCATGATTTTAACTTCAGAAAAGATTCCGTCCCAGCTATTTTGTTAAAGAGTTTTAATTTAAACATATAAACTGAATCAAGTAATCCAGAAATAAAGTGTTTATTTAAAAAAAGGGAGAAAAACATGTTAAATCTCTGGCCGCTGGAAGTACTTCCCATCACACTAAAAATATCACCTACTATGTTATTAATACTCTGTCATGCAGATATGATTGAGTTAACTTACCTCACAGAAATAATGAAAATCTGTCATATATCAGCTTTTGCTCGAGTGTATCTGATGCCAACTATGTGTTTCTTTTTAAAGATTGTGATTCTTTATTTTTTTTATATTGGTTCACCACAAAGTTATAGCAAACTACAGAATTCTGCTACAATTACCAAACACTGCATAATTTCTGTCTAATTATACAGAACTAATGTGCAACCTCTCTGTATTAATAATAAAGCAATTAACCTAAAATACCAAATTGGTGTGAGTTCCTTGACTATTTTCTCATTACTGCAGTCTGTTCCCAGTTTTGAACAATTCTGCATTGTACTTTATAAATGTGAACTCCAGATAATGTTTATTTTTACATTGATCACAATAGCCTGAACAGTCATCACCTTCAGTTTCCTCACCTTTTCCCTTCCCCAAATCTATGTGTGAAAGGTGAACTCTGCAATAGGAATTCATTATAAGGCAGATGAATTTATGGACAATAGGAACGTTAAGAGACATAATATTATATTATCAGAGTCCTCTGAATTTACTTTTCTTCCTCTTTATAATACCAATAGATCTTGTAAAAGACACTTCCATTGTGTCTGACACTTCTGATGTTATGGTGTCAATGGAAGTATGTGTGAAAACCATTACCTTGTCAATTCCGTGATGTCAATGGCAAGTCGATGTCAATGAAAATGTATAAGGTTCTTCCATTATCATTGTAACAGCTTCTCTAGTCTTTTCGATGTAGCAAAAGACACGAATCCATAAGAAAGACTAACTATCTGAAATTGCCGCCTGCTTTTTTTGAAATTAAAGCTAAGGTATTGCATTTCTATTCTTACAGCTTAGCATTAGCAAAAATATATAAAAACATAAATAAATGATCAGCAGTTATTCTTTGTAGTTGAGAATGTAAATGACTTACAGTTGTGAATTTTATGAATGACTGGTACACATAACAGACAATTCTTGTTTATAAATGGAAATAATGAGATTTTTAGCTGTAGATAATATGATATTTTGAAAATTCACTATGGAACACTTGCGAAAGCAGGAAGGTCACTGGAAGCAATTACTTAACCTAAAATCATGCCCACTGAGAGCAGCAATGTCCCTGTTGTGATATTGAACTATGTCCCATAGTGATTTCCCAGGAAAAGAGTAATCATGGTTTATCACTAATCTTAGGTAAATAACACGTGTAATAAAATAAGTACAGCTTACATTGTGCTTCTACATCATTCATGTTTCTTTCTCGTATGTACAGTGTGGTTCAACAAGCCCACTCACTTTTTTTCTGACCCTTTAAATATACATTTGCCTCAGTTTACTTAAGCAGATACTGAGTATTTATACAAGTGCTTGAGCAGATACTGTTACCATACAAATCTGTCTCTCTCTCCTCTCTCTAATTCAGTGACATCATTTGTTTTAGGTCCTAACCATTGGACATAACAGGATTTGTGAACATACTTGTAAAATATTAGAAATTTGATTAATTTTTTTAGAGAGATTTTTTGCTATAGGGCTCATGAGACAGACCAAAAGCTCTTGGTCACTCCCCCCCCCACACACACACACCAAGGGGGATGGCCTCACAATAATCCCTTCTCTTCCCATTCTCCTCTCAGGATACTGGGCACTCATGCATATGTGCCTGGTGTGAATCCTAAGCTGCCGGGTACAGGACTCAAACCACTGTCGACTATGTGGGAGTCCACTAACATAACCATCTGCTGGTCTTTGAATTTGATTAATTATTTCTAACAGGTTCTTCATTAGTTTTTTGGCACTTGGAATTCTTAAAATGATCAAAAAAAATAAAAATTAGAAATGCATACATTAGTGTGTGTATATTTCTATTTTTAAAGACCTGACATTGTGAAAGGAGACAGAAACCCATTATATACACAGATTATAATGCCAAGAAATGTGCTTTTATTTATTTATTTAATTTTACACCTGAAGTCTTGAGAGACTTCACAGAAGAAAGCTATTTCATTTGAGCCATCTTAAAGGACATATAGGATTTTGTAGGTATGAAGTGCCATTCCCAAATTGCATGGATTAAATAAATTGATAGATAATAAAAAATACTATCAGTAGTATAGTTTATTTGTAAATATATATATAATTGTGTATATTTGTGTTTATGTATAAAATCACATTGCTGTGTTTTGATTTGATTCATAGCTATAAAACATCACATTTTTAATTAGGGTTTAAATATGTTATGGCTATAATATCTAAGCATTTCCTTCTAATCTTTTGTTTTCAGCATTTTAGTGTTTGCAGATGGACAAAAAGTAATCAAAACTTTCAGGCTGTAGATAAATTTTTCTGCTACTTCTGAGCAATTCTGATGAAAATTTGAGAAAAGAGAAAGTTGAACCACTGAATCAGGTAAGATGTTTAAAATTTGTCTATGGATTTCAATGAGTAGTGCATAGTTTCTGATTTCCCTTTTGGGAACTAATCAAGAGTTGACCACATTTAAAGCACATTCTTCTGTGTGTAGGTGTGGTGTAGGTATGTGTGTGTGTGTGTGTGTGTGTGCGCGTCTGTGTGTGTGTGTGTGTGTGCATATCGAAGGTTATGAAAACTTTTTGAAGATGTTGTTTTCTATTATATGCTATGAACCAAAAAAAAAAATAAGGAAGGATATCATTAAAAAGAAAATAATGAGGCTGGCTACTGTTTTAATGGTTAAGAAGGCTAGATCCCACATGGCCGACAGCGTGATTGAGTCCCTGACCCTGCAACTTAAAACCACATCAGGTGCATGTGAATGCATGCCCCAAATCTCAAAAGGAGATTAGAAGAGTACAACTTGCAGCGTGGCCATCCTCCCTAGGCAAAGACTTCTCACTTTCTCTCTCTCTCTCTGACAAATGCACCTGCCCTACAGCAAAATTAAAAATTTAAAAGATAAAAGGAGAAAATAATCTAGTTTAATAGTCCTTTTTGAAGAGGAAATTCCTATTGACTAATCCTTATAGATATAATATTCTTCTTTGTTTTTATCCATTTATAGAGTTGGGAGTTGGGAAGAAAGGGGCTGAGAGCAAAGATAAAAATATGTGTGCATCTAGGTTTATCTATTATTGATATATTGGTATCTACATCTATAGCTACAAAATATACACAGTCAAATATGTAATGACATTTCAGTTAACAGCAGACCACATATGTGATGATGTTCCCATAGTATTACAATAAGCTACACCCTATACCCTAGATGGGTGTTAGGCTGAGCTGTCTGGCTGTGTAAGAATGCTCTGTGATGTTCACACGGTGGTGGAACTGCCTAATGATGCATTAGTCAGGATGTAGCCCTCTCATTAGGTGACACATGACTGGGGAGAGAGTGAGAGAGAGACATCTAGAGATAGAGGGAGAAGTTTGAAAAAAACTAATAGGAGAGAAGAGAACAAGAAACTGATGTTACTTGGAGGAAATAAAATTAAATATTAGACTGAAAGCTCTGCTCTGAACTATGAAATCTGATATCTCTGACTGGGGAAAGACTGTGTGAGAAAACTCTCTCCTCATCACAGTGCTCCATTTTCCCACGTGTGAACGTGAAAAGAGAAAGCACCGCTAGCAGTGCCAAATGGGTTGAGTAATTTTCCACTTCTGGATCAGACACGTCCGTACACAGCCTGAATCACATACAGGCAGTATGTCTTCATATCCTGAATCCAAGATGTTGCAGACAATTCAGACAGTGTTTTCATTATAAAGACAATAGTGAAAGAAAACAGAATTGCTCACTTCAAAATTTGAATCGAACCACACAGGGGTGGAAAAAACATATCCCCAATGCTTGGCTTGATTTTTCTTAAGGGTGGGAGGTTGTCATTCTTCTCCTAGCAGGAAGGATTTGGGTAAACTGAGCTATGTTTCCTCCATTAAGTCATTGGCAGTCTTGATCTTTCCGTTTTGTCATTGTCAAAAGGCGGAGATGCTGAAAGACAACACAGAATTCCTTACTAGAAGCTGACTTCTCCAGCAATGGCAAGTGTTATTTACCCCTGAGGTCAAGGGCTGTGCGAATCAATAGCACCCATTCTACATAGTCAAATTTAAATGGTGAGTCAGTTCACATAATCCAAATTCATGTCAGGTGTCCAAGAACTGTTTAAAAATACGTTGCTGTCACCCAGTTCTTAAAACTGATTAGCAGCAGATTATGAGAGACCATTCTATCAATGCATCAATATATCTTGATGCACTAGTGATTTTTTTTTTTTTTGCGGGGGGTGTTTTTCCTCATATTTAGCTGCTTATAAAGTACTTTTTGATACATATTTATTTTCAAGTACCATTTAGAAAATATTAACTAGAGTTGCTGCATCCACAGAAATTTTAAGCCACTTATTTTGTTTCCAATTAACAAATGTATTTCAAAGGCGGAGAAAGCTGATTAAAAAATCTGCCACACAGCCACTTTATAATACAAAATAATTTATCTCAAATGAAATTCAAAAATTTAAAAATAGAGTCTATTTGCCAAGCATATAATAGTTAATAATGCCTTGATTTTTTTAAAAGCATTTACTTAAACTTTGACATATTTAGTGTTACAAATTCTGACTTAAAAGTAATTTATGTAATGTTGAGTAATTCTATTGAGCTAAGTGCATCTAATCAGTAGTTCCCAAATTTTATCAAGGATTTATGGATTGCTAGGGTCCACTTTATGTTATTGTACTTAGACATCACAAAAACTTGACAAAAAAGTAGTTATTACTGAATTATCATACCCATTCTATGGATGAGAGACTGACAAGAGATTGAGTAACTTGTCCAAAAGTTGCTTGGTGATTGAGAGCTATAGTTAAAATTCATACTCTGTTCTGTATAATTACACAGGCCGTACATGTTCACTCATGCCATTCTTTCTAAGAATTAGAAAAATTGTAGAATCACAGAAATACTCTGGTTAGTATTTTTGTGTTCTATGTAAGTCTGGTTCACTCCGGGTTGAGTTTTTTGTTTGTTCGTTTTTTAATACTGTACATAAGTGGGATAGTATAAACGTGAGAATCTAGGAGAGTTGCAAAAGAGGTGGAGATGCACGTCGCAGATCAGCATCAGGGAGGTTATGTCTAGAAGTATCAATGTTAGGCCTGATCCTCTTTATTCAAAGTGAGGTCCAATAACCAGCAGCATCAGGTTCACTTGAGAGCTTGTTAAAATGCAGCACCCAGGGACCAGCGGATGGAGTAATGGTTACATCGCTAGACTCCCATGTAATCAAAGGTGGTTAGGTTCCCGGCTTAAACTCACACTGGGTGCCCAAAAGGAGAAGGGATTGCAGTGTGGCCATTCCCCGTGCGGGTGGTTTCTCAATTTCTGTCTCTCTGTCTCTCTCTTTCTGGCAAGCGCATGTGCCCTATAGCAAAAAATCTCTCTCTAAAAAAAATGTATGTATATGCAGAATTTCAGCCCACCAGGTGACATGAAGGTTGAAGTGGCTATATTCTATGTGGCCAACATTGTGATTTTTGTCCAGACTCAGCGACTTGAAAATCACACCCAGCACATGTGTGTATATCCCCAAAATCCTGAGTGCAGAACAGAGAAGGGATTTGGGGATGGCTCTCCCTGCTGGGGAGTCATTTCTCACTTTCCTTCTGCCCCACCCCCTGTCTTTCTCTGGTGAGCACACACACCCTATAGCAAACAAACACACAGAAAAAGAAATACAGAATTTCATTCTCACCTATGTCCTGCCAAGTTAAGAATTTCCATTTTAACCAGATCTCTGGGTGATTAATAGGTATGTTAAATTTTGAGAACACTGGTCTTGGTGACTGATTCTATCAAACAAGAAGCTGAGTTAGTATTTTCACTTACTTTGGAGAGCTTGGGTTGACCCGCAGAGTTGTCTATAAACCTGGGGCTCAGTTCTCTAATGAAGAGGGAGACTGCTCAGGAGGGGTTGCCATGGGATTTAGAACAGCTAAGGCACCAGCAATCTTTCTAGCCAGACTCAGGGGAAATCACATCAAAATAGTAGAGACTTGGCAAGCTGCCAACATTATCACAATAGCTTCTTTTTCATTCTTTTTCACTTTCTGTCCAGACCTGTGTCCTGTGCCCATAGACACTTTCACTTCAGCTCCAGTCTGGGCATGAAGGGAACACGGATGATGTCAAGCGTATATGCAGAAGGCTTACGCTTCTATAGTATTTACAGAAAGCAGTGATTGTTTCTAATGTATTATCTTTCCTATAATCCTTATAGTAATCTTCAACTATGTGTTATTATGGTTATTTGCAGATGAGGATGTCAAGGTTAGAGTGATTAAATCATTCCTGCAATGTCACATAGCTACTAATAGAAGAGTAAATGTAGAGGATATCCATGGTGAGAGAGATTTTAAAAATAAGCACCCCCAGTGAAGTAGTGAACAAGGGTTTCAGACAGAAAAAGGAGATAGATTTAGTTAGAGAGAGAGAGAACAAGAGCGAGAGTGAGTGAGAGAAACATACACGGGCAAAAATTTAAGGGAATTACCCAAGACCTCTGAGACTTTATATCTCTTTGGAATCTAAATTTAATACTGGTTTGTCAGCCAGGCCATGAGGTTATTTTTTATGTGAGCATATAATTTTCATACCATGGAGAGAAAGGAAAATCTTGTCTAGATATAAACCTTTACTAGTAAAAGATTTCTATTGTATTAATAATTTTATCAAATTAAAAGGGCGTGACATTAAATTATAACCTTAACTGTCATAATAATATGGCATAATAGCATAATTATGATTAAATTATTATCACTATTATATCTGTCACAGATGAATCTCCTGGATAGATGAAAAAAAATCTTCCTTGTTCATTATTTTACCTTCCCAGCAAGTGTCCTATCATCATGTTAGAAATTCACATAATGTCCTTGAGAGCTGGAATTTCTGTTAAAAATTCAGAGTTACACTGAAGTATGTAAAACCTACAGATGGCAGAGTGGAATTCCTGCT